TGACTATAAATACTTCATATATTTTATTTGATAAATTTGCATAGTTTAAATAATTATTCATATTATAAATTATCTTAAAAACTTACGAGGTAGCCTTTGTAGGAATAGGGCATTCAAAACATTTCTAACTGCGATTCTTAAAAAATTTGATGTGTACAAAACATGACTTCTTTGTACGGAATATTAAATTATACGCATTTGTTCTTGCATTTCATTTAAACTTATTGGATTGAATTAAATCTACTTCGCCGACAGCCCATAAACCACAATAGAATAAACACATTCTTTAAAATTTACTTTAGTATTTGTTTACCATAGCGACCCTCTGGCACTAGATTCACTTAACAGTATTATATTTCGTTCATATTATAACTCATAATGCACAAAATTTATATCATTTAAAGAATAAAATTATCTAATCGTTGCCACATGTTCTATTCAAATACTATAAGCTAAAATGATGTATAAAAGAAATTAAGGAAACAAAACAAAAAAGAAACAGTTTCTCACAGACGATTGAGTATTTCGCATTCAATTAATTCAGTTCTCACTTCGCGAGAACGCAAAAATACATAAAAAATCAAAATAACTATATTAAAAATTACGAAGTAAATCTTAAACACTTATTTCCTCGAAAAAATTCCAGAAAGGATTAAGCATGATTTAATTCGCAATAATAAATGAAGGCGTTATCTTTGTTGTTGCGAAGCTAAGTTTCTCTAGATTGGCAACAAATTCACTAGTCTGCTGTTTCAAATGTAAACAATCAATGGCCGCCATAAAAAAAGGCTTAGCGGCACTTAAACAACTTTAAAATTGTTGATAATTCTAAAAATATTGCATACAGATTTACTAAAGGCATAAAAACCTTAACCGGAAGATAAAAACAACATAATTCAATCATTTTTAAAGCAAAAAATTTACAATTTACACACATATACGAGTAAAACTGAGATCACGGAACCGGGCAACAGAGTGGATATATATATAAATATATTTATATACCTTTGGTGCGGCCGATTGCAACCAAAATACGGGGTGCACATCTACATGTTATAGCAGTCCTATATACAAAAGTTCAACGTTCTGAGGCTACTCGTTTTTGAGTTTTGATTTACGTACGTTCGTACAGACGCCACGAAAAATTCTCTTCAGAATTTATTTTAAAGCAGTTTTATAATTTTTTTGGAGGAAACGAGTCTTATTCTGTCCTTACGTACAGATATCACGCAAAAACCACTAAATCGCATTCGATAGGGGTCAAAATGGATATTTTCATTGAAATATGCTGCCAGAAACTTTTCGCGATTACAATACTTTCTTTTTACTTCGTACAAGGAAGTAAAAAGGATTTGAGATTAGAAAATCATATTTTCGCCCTGTTATAATAATTTTCACGTCTTAATTTGAAAATACACTGAATATTTTAGCTTAAATATAATAGCCTTACTGATGTCCAATAGAAGTTTCTTCAGAAAACGAACGCGGTTGTTGCACTTTGAGGGTCACCATCTAATCAAGTTCTAAAAGTATCAGCATCTAGTCATGTCCTAAATGTATTCATTGTTTAGTGCTTTAAAGAAAGCACTAGAAAAAAAAAAAGACTTATTTTTCGTAATTTTATGTAAATAATTTAGTATTTCTTGTTTAAGTTTCTCTGTGTTAAATCTTGAAATAATCTCCACTCCCTCTGCGTTTGTTTTATTATGTTTATTTATTAATTGTTATTAGTTATTAGTCCAAAGGGAAAATTTGTCCAGAAGGGCTATTAATTTCGTTTTAGAATTTTGCGTTGATTTACTGAAAACGGCGAATCATTTTTTTAAACTATTGCCACCAAATTTTGGAGCCCTGTATTATATTTAACGAAATCAAATAATGAAGAATATGCATAAATATATGTATGTTTCTCGCATTGTCATAAAACAACGGTACCTAGAGCCATCCAATTTTGAATAACGTACGTCTTCACCCGAATATGGACATCTGGAAGCCCGAATTTGGAATTTATTTTATTATCTATTTCATATTTTTGATTAAGGAACTCAACGATGTCAAAGCGAGCAATGACAATACTGTATGAAAAAAAAAAACATTTTTATCTCCAGCGCTTGAAACTGTGTATTGGAAATTTTAAAGATATGCTCTTTTAAATGTTTTGTGATATTGCTGTTGCAATGAATTTAAGGGTTTAAGTGCGAAGAACATGATATTTAATAAATAAAGGCAACGAATAAAACGTTAGAAAAACGCCCCTTTGTGTGTTATATAAAATCTGAAAGCTTTCAGATTTTTTTATTTAGTTTTTTAATTAAAACAAAAAGTTATTTTTATTATTTTTTTTATGTTTTGAAATATATGGAGAATTGGAACTGGAATTTCTTATTTTAATTCTCTTTAGAAAATAGTATTTAAAATTCAAGATTTTTAATTATGTTCATCTTTACTGAATTAATTTTTTTCTTAATATAGATGTGTTTTTAAAAGCTGAGTTTTTGAACTTGCTTCTCATTTAGGCAGATTTCAGATTTTGCTTTCAGACATTTAGGCTTAAGCAGCTTTTTCTTTTCACATTCTTTTGCAGTTCTTATACGGAGGAACAGAGGGTTTTGAGAACCTGTCGGGATTTGGATTCGAGAGTATTTTGGATTAATCCCACCTCTAGTTTTAAATTTTATGCTATAGTGCTATTTTAAATGCTATAGTGCTATTTTGAATTTTATGCTATAAGTGCAAATTATTCATTATTTAATTTCTATAAACATAATATAGGGGGATAATCTTTTGCAGGAATTATTTGAAAAGCGATTCGCCGTTTATAGTGAACCAAGACAAAACAGCATTTAAAGACTAACGGCGCCTTTTGGTCTAACAGAAAAAAAAAAAAGAAAAAAAAGAAAAAAAAAAGAGAAGGCTAAAAGTAATTTTGCGTTTATACAAAAGTAAATTAATAAAGATATCTGATTATGATAGGGCGATTTGATGAGAAGTATGGAATTTAAATTAAGTCAAAATGAAGATTAAGTAATATTAAAGCGCATAGGGCATTTTTTGCATTCCATTTTTTTTCTGTAATTTTTTTTTTAATTTTGCAGAAGTGAATAAAATACAGTTTCTAAATTTAGTTACGAAGTAATCTGAATTTTGGATGCTTCTTTCGATTTTAATTAAAATGTAAATTATAATTTTAATTAAATTTATAAATAGCAAGCATATTCTGGCATACTGTGTTTCAAAAACGGTAGTGATTACGAAATTTCTGTGTAGTAATAAATACAAATATTATAAAAAGAAATCAAAACGCTTGTCTTCGTAGCATCATAAGAATTAGGTATTTTAATTTCATCGTTTAATAGAGAGGATATTAATTGGTTTTTTGAAATAAAATGATGCTTTTGTCTTTAATGGGAAAAATTATTACTTTCCAGGCCCATCTGAGGTAATAAATCATCAACTCAATTTCATGTATTAAATTTTAATTCAGTCAGCAACTTGAAATATGAAATTGTTTTGAATGAAAGTCTGGAAGAAAGTGTCCATTTTATATACTATGGTTTCGTTAAAGCAAATGTTTCAAAATCTTAAAATTTGGGTGCAGTTATTATAAACTATTTGATGATTCATTATGTTATTTAGAAGTTACTTTATTTATTACAGTATAACTTCATTTAATAATAACACATTTATTAAAGTTAAGCGAGAAAGCAACGTTATTTTCGCATTGATTTCTTTCGATTTCGAGCCAGACAACTTCTTCAGGAGAGAGGGGGGGGGGATATTTCAGGAAAAGTGTTTTCCCGAAAAAGAGGAATCTAAAAAATATTTGCAAAATTTCTTTGTTCCTGAAGAAGAGAGACCTGTGTTTGATCACCCTTCCGAATCGTTAGAGTTTTGTAGGGTATCAATACCAAACTACATATTCTCCTCATTATAAACTGGCAAGCTTTTGGTTCAATTTGAAATGTACTGTTATTTGATGGGGTAATAATTTTATTGTATCACAAAATTAATTTTGAGGGAGAGCACCCCGGGTTGTGGTCCGAGGGTCTTCCACCAATCCACACGAGTGGACTTTCAGCTCGCCGTATATTTAGAGTGCTCCCATGCCGCAAAGACACGATAGATTTACAAACATCCATGCCATCTTCGGGATTCGAACCCGGGCTCTTCGTTACCGCAGTACGTTCTCCTAACCCTCTGTGCGGCTCTACTACTTTTTAATTTCCATTTTTAATTGTTAAATTATTTTCCGTGTTTAAATAACTTTTATTATAAACTTATACTACTTATTATCTGTAAATTATTATGCAAAGTTATTCTGTTCTACCTTGCAGACTAGAACTTTGAACCTAAATTCCTTAAATACTCGAAATACGTTTTGTATGAAGAAAATGTATGTATTTGCAATGTATACACCTTGATGCTTAACTTGTTTTTGCCTTATGAATCTCTTTCACCACTGCTAAAAGTTATTTCCCCACCCTCCTTTCTAAAACTCCAAAAATGCATGTGCATTTGTTTAGTTTTGATTATTTTTAATGTGTTTTTATAAATTAAACAACAAAAAGTATAGAAAATGTTTATAAGTAATAAAATTTAAATAAAAACAGTTTTTCATATTCGTAAAGACTTAACAGCTAAATAAAAGTCTCATCGCAATGTCTGCCCTTGAAATTATAAAATTCTCCTCTTGTTTGAATTTCAGGAGAGAATTCTCCCCTGGTTCGGAACCCCTGGTGTATGCATTTAATTATTTTTAATTAGAAATTACATCAAACTGCTTCAGATATATTATTTTCAGTCTTCAAAATCCATTGACAAATTCTTCTGTATTATATCTTACTGAAACATTAAGCTTTTATTTTACTGTAGCATTATATGACTTTTTGTGTTTTTAAATACTTTTATGTCGTTTTAACTGTTAAACGTTTTTATGATTTCTACTCGCTGGTTGAAATTATATATAACTTAGAAAACTTTGTTCTTTTTGGAATTTTTAGGTTATCTGTTTATTCTGAAGAGTCTGTTCCATTATTTGGTCCAACTCTTCCAAATCCGCCAATCTTCAAAAACCATCAAGAGTTCAGAGAATTTCTTCTAGTTAAACGTAAGTAAAAAACTGAATTTTATAGAAACAGTATTCGTTTTTTAAATGTTAATTTTGCGTATTTTAAAGTATCATGCATTGTATTCAAACAAAGTGGCTTGTATTGTACAATCTAATGTCCCTGAACGAATATTTAGAGAAAAAAATTACAATGAAATAAGCTATATCCCTTAATACAAATATTAATTATTCTAATAAAAAAATGAACCAACGTTCCGTTGAAGAAAAAAATGATGCAAAACTTTTCAATATCTTACAAACAGTGTAATAAGCAAAAAATAACATGAAAGCAAACTAAAAAAATACAAAATTCCGCGCAGAATTTTACTCTACAGAACAACTTTATCAATAAAAATGTAATATATATATATATATATGACAATGAAATATGCCAATCTCTTAAAAACAGTGACATAAGAAATACGATGAATATTTGTTGCCAAACCCATATTTCTAAAAGAATGAAACTATTCAAAATGATGGGATTTCATCAAAAATCTACCAAAATTGTTGCCAAAATCACATTTTTAAAGATGTGAGATGTGAGAAGTGTACTCGGAAGCTTCATTTAATTTTTTTTTAAAATACAAAATATTATCATTTTTCCAAAATTCTTTTTGTAAAAGCAGTCGCAAGTATGAAAGTTTAACGTGTCCAAAAGTCAAAGAAAAATAAACGTTTTTAGAAAAAAACCCATTGAAGAGATGTTAAGCTCCCTTTGTTAAATAAATTCGTATTTCATCGATTTATTGAAACACGAAATTTATTTTAAGTTCGTAAAGTAGCTAAGTGCTACGTTTCATGACGATGTGAAAGTGCAGTGTGTAGAGTAAAATCTCGCTTTCTTATAGCCCATTATGTCCTAAAATGACGCGATTTCGTCACAAAATATGAAATAAAAAAATTCTAAATCGAATTTCGAAAAAATAGCTTCGAGGTGCACTGTCTCTTGTCTAGATACCCACGGCTATATACGGCTAGATACACGGCTAGATACCCACGGCTACGAAATTTGGTCACACACACAGACAGACTCTTTCTTTTATTATATGTAGAGATTTATTGAATTTTATTCTCACCATCCTTGCTTAATATATATATATATATATATATATATATATCTTTTAATTTTGAATTATGAACGTTTTTAGCAGTCTTAATGTCACTCGGTGTTGTTAATCCACTGTTCAAAATTAGATCGTTAGTGAACACCATCTAAATGAATTTATATTTAATTGCAGTTTATATTTAATTGCATCTAAATGAATTTATATTAAATGAATTTATATTAATCTTTAGTTGCGTACTTTGACAGTTACCGAGTATTCATCGTCGTCCTATTCAGATGTAGCAGAAAATGATTCATAGGATTTGATATGCGGTGTAATTCGTTCCCGGTGACATTTCAATAGGTAGACGTTCTACACTGACATCATTACCCAGACATTGATCAAAGTAAACAACGCATGAGAACACTGAGCACTATCTGCAATGCTTGGTGGAATTAATCATATTCATATAGAAATGGGACTGAACACACTTGTATAGGGGATTAGCACACGGAGGTCAGCCTCATGATGGAGAAACCACTTTGTTCATCTGTAGTCACAATCTCTCGCTTAAAATTACTGAAATCCACGGTAAATAAACAAGCTTTCAATCTGCAAGCAGTTTTGTGAAATTTTATTTAATTTTAAATTTTGATTGCCAAAAGGAATTAGAACTTCATGTGATTATTTTCAGCTCAAGTTCACTTTTTTTTTTTTTTTTTAAATTTTCGGATGGATTCTTTCTAGGAAAGCACTGAAATTTGACAAAAGGAAGATTTATTTGAAAGTAAAAATATTCATGATTTAAAACGATATCGCTTTTTTTTTTTTTTTTTTTTTTACTGTATAAGGTATTTTTTCCTCTTTTCCACATGCCTTTGTTGTGTATCAGGAAGCACACTCAATGCTTATTCGAGAGGTCCATGGTTCCTTTCCCGGCCAGGCCACTGCACATTTTTAATGTTCCTGCTGTAAAAAAAAAAAAAAAAAAAAAAAAAAAAAATTAATAATAATAATGACTCTGCAAGGGGCGCCCGAAGTGAAAAGTGATGGACGATAATTCGTCACCACCCAGAATTTGGTGATTAGGCCAAATAATTCCTAGAGTATATAAGGTATTTTCTCTCTTTTTTCCTCATTCCCTTGTGGCGTAATTGTAAGCGTAATCGACAGGTTCAGGGTTTGAGTCCTGGCGAAGACACTGCCTACTTTTCACGTCTCTTTCTTCAAAAAAAAAAAAAAAAAAAACCTAATGACTCTACAAATATGTTTCCGAATTTCAGCACATAGAAATAGTAGTTAAAAGTTATCATGTAAGAGTACCTTAGTACGGTAGTGCATACTTAATTAAATAATAATTTCAAGTATTTAAATGCAGAAGCTAACTGATAAATGTAAGCGTTAGCATTTTTGAGCACTAATCAGAAACAAGATAACTGAATTCGAGATATGTATTTAAGATTTTCATCACACGTGACATGATATTCATAATGAATATCCATCCCATGAATAGATGCTTGCGTACTTGAACATGATTTAGAGTGAATTTATTGTACAGCCACAAAATATACTAAAGGTATCTATTTATAGTGAAATCTTTGGAATCTTAATTAATCGGCAATATCAAAATAATGGCACTTTGAATGGTCTAAATCGAAGTCTGAAATTTAAACCTATGAGATAAAAATATGTAATGGGCTAACGATTCGAAGACTTAAACATGGAAAACATTTGTGCTCCGTTTTTGCTGCCCAACCTATCAAGCCTTGTCCAACCAATGAATTATTTAGAATATGAAGATAAAGTACCTATTCCTTTTTATTCGCCAGTTTATGAACTTTTGAAAGTAGTGTTCCTGATTTTCAGAAAAATGCAATTTATATTGAAAGATGATTGCCTGGAAATATGTCGCTCTTAGTGTAAAATGTGGCTTGTGATCACGGTTTGCACCTCATGATTATTGGCAAGGAATCTCTTGGGTTTAAACTTGTCTGGCGACCATATCCGAAATCTTCGATTTAGTTTAATATTCGGGGAAGATTAGTGTTAGGGAAAAGGAGTGTAAGTTTGGATGGATATAGACAATTGTATTTCTATCTCACTCTCTCAAGATTACCATGAAACAATCGAACATGTAATGAGAAAGAAGGAAGAAATGGTGAGACTTCATCCGAACGTGGGTTCTTGGGGTGTTAACATGTTCATAATGTGGGCTTTTCCACAAATCATACGTACGTGGTATAGGACAGCATTATATATACAATGGAACAATTTTTGCTGCCAATGGCCGGCTCTTGCCTACAACTGCATTGGCCACTACTAAGGCCAGAAGTACTGACCATTTTATTGAGGCACCTAAGAGGCGGCCATCGTTACTGCCTATGAAGGGAAGACAATTTTACATCCATGCCTTCTCCGGGTTTCGAACCCGGTTCCTTTGGTATAGTAGTCAGGCTCTCCTAACAACTATACCGTCTGGGCGGCACATTACTGATAAATAAACAGCTACAATTCGTATAAAGCTAATAACATAATGTTCATTTTCACTTGCAGCGTAACAGTAAGCCTTTTTCATGACCTTTCCTTTCCTTTTCCCACTATTGCCGTGTGTAGCTTGCAGATAGCAAGCTGTGTACCGGCTGTCATGAATTAAAAAGTACATTGCAGGTATAGCAAATGCATGAGTGTGTCTGGAGGACAGGATGCAAAATGGCTTTTTCATGACATTCTCTTCTTGTCTTTTTATACTCAGGAGTTTCAAGGCAGAGAGGCGAATGCGCGCGCCAGTTAGGCTAAATTACGCATGCGTGGCTTTTACCAAATTATGACAAAAGAGGAGAATGAAGACAAAAGAACTCACAGAATAAGAGAAATGCGTAGAAGGAAACGGATGAAGGATAGCAGACTTTCATCAGATTTGCCGAGCAATATTTATCTATGTCAGTACGCGTTGTTTGAAACTTCATTGCACGTATAGCGAATTTTTAAAACTTCGGGAACAGTCTCATAAGCACTGTTTGACCTTCATCAAAGTGAATCAACAGCCTGTGTTAGACGTAGACGTTTAGCATAAAAACTGATTGCAGATTCTTGATGAAGAATGATTTTGTTGGCCCTCGAAATCGATAGAGTTTCTATGCTAAAAATCTACGCCTAATGCGATTGTTGCTTCACTTTTATGGTTTATTTGAGACGTGTTTCTTTTGCGTCTGAACTGTTTGGCCTTACTAATGTTAAACATAAAATCATGTGCAAATGTTTTAATTTTTAATAATCTGTACCATTTTCGGTATGTTTCATATAATAGTGACAGATAGATCGAAAACTACCACCAACTAACTTTTCATGAAATTTCTACTGCTAGCATCACAAAATACGAGTATGTAAGTTCTATAAATATGTACTGAATTATCTGGGAAATCTTTTGTCTGGAATCTGTGAAATCCCGTTACTGCAGGTTTAGAGAAATTCTACTATAATAAGAGGGTTGCCTTGATGGAGTACTTTCTAAAGGAAATTACTGATCTTCATGTTACACCTTCGAAAAACCTCGAAACTGCCCAAGCAACCAACCTATTTTGCCAGGATTTGAACTTAGATCGAAGTACTGGTGTTCAGTGTCCACGTTTACTCGATCATCAGTGCGCCTTGTGCGCATATATGTATGTATATTTATATGGAGAAAGATAACAGCGTATAAAAACTGCTATTTTTTTTACGACCTACTTCAGATACTTTTGGTGGCTTTACTTAGTGACTGTAATCAATCAAGTGAAATCGACTGCAGAATTATTTGAAAGGAAAGGAGAATTACAAAACACCAAGTACAGTTAATGCCTGACATTTCCTATGCTGAGGTTCATCTATTTTGGATTTATTTTAAGTGCTCTGTACTGTTATGACTCTGAGTAGTAAACAATTGCCCTGTTCAAACTAAATGCAGATAGCAACCTCGTCTTTTGCAGCGATTTAAAACATTAGTTACAAAAAAAAACTGATTTAATATTGCTATGTTATTATCGGGAATAATATTTTGATGTTATTTGAATGCTTATTTTGTGTGCTGATATTATGCAGCTAAGTGTATCGAAATGTACGAAATACTGAGTAGGCCATAAATTTTTTCCAATTAGCAAACCTATTTTTCTCATAAAGGAGGGGGGTACGCAAGTGGTGGCTAACGATATGCCAGTTCTAGATATTTTCGTTACTATCCGATGCTTCACATGTCATCAACGCGCTTTAACGATCCTTACGTGATTCTAACCCGAAAATAACTATTCCTTCGCAATGGTAAGGTGCCTGTATCTGTTGCACAATGATTTACGTGACATCAGATGGTGCCTCCGTGTAATTTAATTAAATCATGGATCAGAAAATTCCCGCAAACTTGTTCCATTTCCATCATAAATATGAGATAAGAAGTTCGGTTGCGCTCTCCGTAAAGCGAAAAAAATTGTGTTACACGTTAGGTAGACCATGAGGAACGACTGAAACTTTAAGATGGCTTCATTCGCTTAAGGCCTTCTATATCTGGAGGCATAATCAGTTCTTTTTTTTTCTTTGAGGTCAATCGGAAAAATAATCTTAGTGTCACTTTACCTGAAAGGTATTGCCGAGAATTTTTCCACCAGAATTGTAGGAATTTGAAGGATATACTACTTAGAGAATCTGATACAGAAGGATAATGGAACATATGTTACCTCAAAATTGCTCATATCGATACAAGTTGAAGCAAGGCAGGGACCTATGCATCCAAGTAGGCATATTAGGTATCACTGGGTCTTACGAACTGCTGCGCTTTCGACTCGGATGTAATTCCAAGACCTTTCATGCCCTACCATCAACATAACGAGAGGGTTTCATCTCGCCGTGTATTTTGAGTGCTTCCCTGCCCTACAGATAATTTACGTTTACAAACATGCATTCCTTCTCCGAGATTCTAACCCTGGCTCTTCGGTATGACAGTAAGCATTATTAATCACTATATATCTGGGTGGCAAAGTGTCAGTACACATCGTTAAAGAAATGTTACGGTCACATCCCATGGAATCTGAATCTTCACATAAAGAAATTCCCTTCGAGGAATCCGAATCTTCACGTCGCGGAATTTTTTAATGGGACATATTAAAACTCCTATGCACAGTAATCCAATTTAGATAAAATATGCGGGCAGTAATTCCGCGCGCCTTGTGTGTTTTTCAGAGGGAAAGGGAGAACTTAAAAATGCTGTTCGCAAAAGTGCCAAACACGGGACAGCAAACTTCTAGACAATATTATTTTTAAAACGTAAACTCCCAGGTACAGTTTTCTTTTTAATAAAATCTAAATAACATAATTTTACCTCACTTTCTTATTTGATTTCCCAAAGCGCAAAAATTTATGACCCACATTGTATATGTGTATATCTACTAAACGAATCTTTTTTTTTTTTTCTGTCGACATTTACACTCGTCGCTTTATCAAGAGTGCGTCCATTTAGAGTAATTTAACCATGATTTTAATTGTTCTGATGAAAATGCTGAGTAAAGCTCCAATCGATTCATGAAGGAATGCGTTTGCGCAGGTGTAATTGCTATTTATATGAAAATTTGACTTAAATCTCTATCACGTATATCGTTCCTTTAAAATAAAAGCAAATAAAATCACATCACGTAAATTTATTTTAGCGTATTTTGATTGGAAGTTGTTTATTGCTTTTGACTCTTTGTACATTCAGATTAACGCCGACTAAATAGAGCAAATTTTCCGTGAAAGAGTTTGCTTCGAATGTCGTCTTTTTTCGCTGAGAATAAAATTTGCATGGCTTTGCAATGAATAGTTGTGCTGATTCAGTTACTTGGTGTATAAAAAGGAAGAAGTGGGTGAGTGTTTAGACTTAAAAGAAGAAAAGGTGAGTTGGAAAAGATTTCATTAACCATTGATGAATTGATTGCATCTTAACTAAAAAATTTACTATTGTATGTTAAAACAAGCAGAGGCTAAATAGCTGAACTTCCATCTATTTATATAATGCATCAATTTAGTGCAAAATAAAGTGAAAAAAGGGAATTGTTGTTGTAATTCAATAAAGGATTAGGTTTGTAAATATGTATAAGCATATGGTATGCCTGAAAATACGAATAAAAAAGAAAGCTGAGTTGTCGCATTTATTGTGGGTTCCGCTGTTTTTCACTGACTACTGACGAACCTAGCCTAATCCATTTTGGAACTCGAACCAAATAACAAAGCATCATAAAAAAACAAGGATATTAAAACTCATTATTGTAAGTATTATGCAAGCATATAATAACCACTTTGCAACTTTCATCTATTAATAAAATGTGTTATATAAAATTGTAGGGCGATTATAACATTCCTAGCGTTATTATATCAATTTAAAAGATATGTGCTAAGAAATAAGTCTTCCAGAAATAAAGTGCTGTTCTAACTACCAAGCTAGTTATGTTTTCAAAAGTTTCAGGCATATAATACGTAACCAGTGTCTGCCTCATTTTAATTCATTTCGTTGAAAGGTTCATGGGTGCCTTTCTAATTCTTTTTCTAATTCTTCTTGTCAGTCAGTTGTCCATTTATATGGATTATCGTAAGTAACTTTGTTAGAGGGGCTCTCATTTTTGCATGATTTGGAATAAAATTATGGTACGTAATGCATTTAAGGGATCTTTATAATTCTTTAAAAATTTTACGGGGGGGGTGTATTTTTTTTATAAATTTAATATTTGCGCTACTGGGTTGATAGTTAAAACAGCACTATTTCTGGACGATTAATTTCTTAGCACAGATCTTCATGATTGCTAGGGGTGCTATAAGCGTCCCACAATTTTATATACGCGTATCACATTTCTGAATAGTAGGCGAAGGCTGCAAATCGGTTAGTCGCATGCTTGCGTGGGGAGAACAAGGGAGGAAAAAATGTCCTTTTAATTTTGCTTTGTACTAGTTGAAAGTTACTTTGTACTAGAAAGTTGCTGTGTGCTAGCAACTACGCTATTTATAAGCTCAGGTCCTTTGTTTTATGGTGACTGGATAAAAGCTCACAGCTTTGCAGATCATTGTAGATGAAACTAATGACGTAAATGATTCTTTGAAGAGGGTTATATCTAAATTAAAATCAGGAATTAAAAGATATATTGCGAAATTTAGTAATTTTTTAATATTTTTTCATATTTCGTATTTTACATATTTATAGTAGATCCGATCAATATTTACATTATTTTGAATTTAGCGCGGTATCAAAGCATACCAGTAATTGAGTCAAGCAATAGTTTTGGCATATTTAGTAATATTTCGTTTTATCAGTGAGCATCAAGTTAACCATGTAAAAATACTCAGAATTATTTATCCAGTTTTAGATCGTTTTATGTTTGAAATTTATAAATGCAAGTTGTACACTGAACGGAATACAGTTGTTAGGGTTTTTCTCGCTGCAGGAGACGTGAAAATGTGAAATGGTCTCGTCTGGAATCGAACGTCGAACTTGCCAAATACACGTTGAGCTTGCTCCCAGTTACGCCACGAAGGCATGCTGAAAGGAGTGAGAAAATACCTTATTTATTAACTCATGAATGTCAAGATAACAATCATATTCCCACCGTAGTTGCTGTAGACTCCACTGATGCAAGTCGCCACAGCAATACTAAAATAATATTTGAGACCTTTTGTTCTGTAGGCAAAGATCATACAAAACATATCTGGGGCATGTTTCCAAAAGGAAAGTCACTCAGTATCGAATATCAATTCATCAGTTCCGCTGCGACGTGCCGGTGGCGGTCGATTTCCTTTTCTATTTGATGTATATCAAAGATTTTCTAAAGGTACGAAATGACTCTTGTGAAATAAAAACAGTCAGTTTTAATAACTCTTTATTTTTGAAAATGTAATGCTATCGGCAGAAATGATGGCTATAAGACTTTGCTATCAGTTGACGTCCAGTAGTTCGTATACTGAAGAACCATGGATTCGCAGAATAATAAGATGACTTGAACCAAATACTTGAACAAAATTAAACACTCTGAAAAGATTTCCTTCAAGTGGTCGCTACTCTTTGCCATAGTGAATTATAATAGAATTATTTTCTATCAGTTGGCTTTGCCACTATAAAAAGCTTGAGAATTTTATGCTTGGTACTCAGGAGACTTATTTCTGAAATCAATAGTCTGTTACTGACATTTACTACTTTCATGCATACGAAAAATGTATATCTGTTTCAACAATCTTTTAAAATGTTTTTAGTTTCAGTGGCAATATAAAGGTCATTAGAATTTCAAAATCGATATTGCATGTGTGTCTACTACAATCTGTAGTAGAATGTGTGTCTACTACAAGAATCATGAACTGTAATTGTTCGCAATTATAAACGCGCTTTATGTTTTATTGCTTTATTTACAATAGTATTATATTTAAAATAATGTTACATTAGTTTTATATCATAAATAGTCTAATGTTTCTCTTCGTTTTAATGTGCAGTTTATGAAATTTATCATAATACTGGCTGCAAAGAGTATTTTATTTTTTGTCTCTTTCAGTTATCAATGGTGAGAAAGCTGCATTCAACACTCCTACATTTGCGCAAAAGAGAGAAAGAACACTAGACATGCTTATCAAAGATCTGTATACAGAGCATATGTCTGAAAACCGTGGGGTGAGTATACAGATACTTAAATATTCTTACAAGGCATTCTCGAATCTTGCAAATCCTGAAAAGGATTCGAGATTTTCCCTCATATGAATCTTTCCAAGTGTAACTTAGAAATAATTAAACCTTTAAATTCAAAGCATTGCAAAGATTAATTTTATTGAAATCCAAAGGAAGCCTTAGTTTAAAATAAAATTTTGAAAGTTTTTTTTTTTTTTTTTTTTTTTTTTTTTTTTTAAATTTTTATTTTTTATTTTCATATACGAAAACATTAACGTTCCGAGAGTATTTGGGCTGATCCCAGTTTTAGGTTCAAAATATTTAAAAATAGCATATCTTTAAAATTTCTGATAGATAGTCTTGCGCTCTGGATATAAAAATGTTTTACTCCCTACAGTGTTGCCACTGCTCGCTTTGAAATCGTTGAGTTTTTTAATCAAAAATTCGTTAAAGTATAAAAAATATGAAATAAGCATTAAAACAAATTCCAAATGCGGTCTTCCAGGTGCTCTTATTCGGGTGGAGGGCTACGTTTTTCAAAATTTGATGGCTCCAGGTTTCGTTGTTTTTTCACAATGCGAGAAACATACATACGTTCATGCAGATTCTTTATTGTTTAATTTCTTCAAATATAATGCGGTGCGATGATATATGATAGCAACAATTTGAAAAGTAATTCAGACTTTTAGAGAGATTCAATGCAAAATCCCGTTTTGAGACTTAGCTCTTCTTGGATTGGTCATTTGGGCTAAAAAAAGGTCGAGAAATTCACTTTATGTATAGCATCTGGATCATCAGTATAACTTTGCGCTGATTCTAAGGTGTTCTGCATCAACTTGTCAAGTAATCCTCCTCTTCTTCATTTGCTTTGATTTGAAAAATTCTGTAAAAGTAAAACATTTGATCTGTTACTCTAATATTTTTGTCGAATTATGTTGAGAAAAACCCTCAAAATTTTGCAGTTTGTATGCCAGAGACGTCTTTATCGGAGACTATCAAAATTTTTAAACCGTCGTATTAAGTTACGTGGCGCTATTTCACTTGTCTTAACAAACGTTGCTACTGCGCGAAACGTAAGATATTTAATCTAATTTCTATGATCTTCGTGCAACCAATTCTCAGATTGTTGCCTTCAGCAAAACATGAGATTTTTTAATTTACCTTTGGAATTTAATCAGTTCATAATTTCTTAGCAGACTAAGCGAATTAAAAACAATAAATACATTCCTTACCAGCTTAAAATAATAATAATACTTTTCATTGATGTATATGTAATTAATATAAATTAAAATATATTGAAATACATTATTGTAATTAATAGGATAGTTTTAGATTTAATTAAGTACTTCATTTACTAAATTTTATTCAGGTTTCTCAATAAATATAGGTATAATTTTTCAAAAGTAATTCTTCTATTCATTTTTATTAAAAGCACATTGTTTCTATCTTATTCGTGTATGAGGATTTGTGACGCCCAGACGGTATAGTGGTTAGGAAAGCCTACTGCGGTACCGAAGAGCCCGAGTTCGAATGCTGGAGAAGGCATGGTTGTAACTGTCCCCTTCACAGGAGGCAACGGTGGCCCCCTGGCCACCACTTCTGGCCTTAGGAAAGGCCAATGCTGAATAAGCGAGTGCCCGCCATTGGATTAAAAAAATTACATTTGGAAAATTCGAGAAACCTTTTCAGATTCAAATTCCAATTCTAGAAAAAGCAAGAGTTGTTCCATCTCTGTTTTCAGTAGCTTATTAATGTCAAATGTACGTTTTAATTAACTTTTGAAATCGAAGGATACATCTGGAAAAAAAAAACAATGTAAAAATTAAATTTGTTCTAAATATTATTTTCATAAGGAATACCTGATATTATTTTGCATATAGATTAATAAGTTTCAGTGTGCGTTAATTAATTTTCATTAGTAAATTTTTATCTTGTTATCAGAATAAAAGATAAATACTGTTAAGTAAATGAAACAGAGCACGCCTTTTATAATTATAACAAGATAATTTTTCTAATACAATATGGTTATTAAAATATTAATAGATAAGCATAATTATAGATCACAGACTCCATAAACCTAACGTAAATTAGTCATCTACAAGAAAATGAAGTTTTCAAATGACCACGACATACATAAAACAAAGAATGTCATTAAGAGAAAGTAATAGCACAAGATTATTTGTAAACGCATGATAGACTTTCAAAGAAAATAACACGCTGAATAATGATTACTAGAGGAGTGTACGAAACACGAATCACCGTAATTATTCATAAATGTGCTGGGTTAGTTTCGAAGGTTTAACTATAGAAACATCTTCATCAGCTTCAAAAGTACAAATGACAAAAGTGAAACCAGCGACAAGAATGAGAAGGAAATCCTACTGATGCCCTCTATTGATGAAAAATGAAAATAGCTATGTAATAATTTTGTAGATGATGGTAAAGGCGGATTGGACTTGGGATCGTTAACTAGACCTGAAAGAATTCAATGAATATGAAACGCCTCTGAAAAATCTAAGTCGCTAATGGAAGATGGGTTTTGAATAATTTTGACTGCACACTAATGAAAATTTTCCATTCTTGTTGTTTTAACTTTTCCAGTAATTGCATGAAATAGTTTTAAAATTAACAAGAAATAAATTGCAAAAATGATGCCAGATTTTATTACATAACAGAAATAAAACCTTTTAGTTTTTTTACTCATTTCAAAAACTTTCAAAATGTCCACATTTGCTGGTACAGAAATATTTGGGTTTGTTTGACAGTATTAACTTGGTCTTGTTTGCCATAGTTGAATGGAAACCCGGGAACATTACTTCTTTCAACAAACGCAGTTCAACCGGCATAGTGGCTAGTGACTCTGACTGCTGTAGCGATGGGCTCGGGTTCGAATCCCGGAGGAGACATGATTGTAACTGTCCGTTCCTTCTTGGAGGTAAAGGTGACAGCCTATTAGTGCTTTCCATAATGCAATGGCTACCACTTCTGACCCTTGTAGTGGCTTAAAGCTAATCGCTATTAAATAAAGTGTCTGGCCATTAACCAAAACCTTGTTTCAACAAGACAGTTGCCATACTCGTAACTGAGATTATTTAGAGGACCATATGATTCAAAGTTCGTCGTAAATATTTATGGAAGGCTCGGGATGTGAAGTGAATCCTTAATGCCAAACATTGGATTAAATTCTTCATGTGATTTTCTTGTGGGTGTTTGTCAAGAATATTTGTGAAATCTTTGTGCTTTTACTCATCTCAAAACCTGAGGATCTTTGTAATTACATTACCAACGCTATGGCTGTGATCGGCCATAGTATGCTGGAATTGCACAGGATGAAGCTGTTTACAGCATACATGACCACATTATCCTATGCATGTCGACCATCTCTGCAAAACTGGACACATAGAGCATATGTAAAATGAATAAAAAGAAAGAAATATAAACTCGAAACGTTTTCCTCTATTTCAGCAAAATAATAATTTGGTATCACAAATAAATGTGTATGCATTTTAAAAATGTTTCACAGAATTATAAATAACCGTCTACTGTCAATTATTTTAAAAATTATTATAAATACAGAATTTAAAGCATAACCAAAAAAAAGTTATATATATATATGTATATCGATTTACCAAATATTCAGTCTTTGTTCTTACTTGAAATCAGGCCTTTGGATCCTTGTTTTCTACAAATCTCAGAATATTCGATATTCAAAAACTGGAATCTTTTTTAATCAGTCGAATCTTCCAAATCCTAACCTAAAAGATATTAAACATTTTAATTTAAAAACTTTTGAAAAATAAATTTTATTGACGTCCGGAAGAAGATTTTACTAAGAACGCAATTGCTGGACCTGTGTTACGAATATTAACCTCATGTCGAGCTTGTGAGCAAAACTTTCTGGATATAAATTAATATTCCATGTATATTAATTATCTGCGTTAATTCTTGGAATAATACTATACTTTTTTTATTTGCTTTTACTTGACAAATGAGGAAAATTATAAAAACATTTTTTTTAAACTGTAGTTAACTGTTACTCAATTTTTTTTTAAATTTAATGGAGAACATGAAACTTAATAATCAAGAGTTTTAAATATTACTTCAGGTATTAAATCTTCTTTGTTTTTTTTGTAATAAATATAGGTAATTTAGAGAACTGTGGTTTTAAATTTGGTGTGCTTTAAATACGGATTTCAAATTATGTCTCAGTTAAAAACATGTGATATTAAATTGCCCTTTCTTACTATTATCCTTATATGAATGATTGGAGATATCTTTAGTATTTGGATTGGCAAAATTTAGGATTTTTTTAATTTAGAATTTTTAATTATCGCTATTTATTCTAGAGACGATGGAAAAAACACTGAATATTTTGGCGTCTAGACATCGAGGTGAATTATAAATTCATAAAATTACATGATATCAATTAGAATTAAAAGAAATAGGTTGGTGTTTGCCTTTATTCAGTAATTACAAATATTTAAATATATAAAATACTTAAGTGGGATTAATTGGAAATTAAAAGTGTGCATATGAAATAGACTAGACAATATTTTCCAAAAATAAGCAAAAAAAAAAAAAAAAAAAACACCTTCGTAATTTTCTGACTTTGAATATCTTATGAATATAATGACATATTAAGGTCTTTTAAATTTGCGTCATGGTCGCAACATTTCTTCTCCAACATCATTTAATATGCTTTAAGAATCAGAATTATGTTTCGAGCGCTATTCTCTGAATCTGCTAAAACTTCCGAATGCATTATAAATGCATATGCATAATGCATGCAAAATTATTTTTCATGTTGCCGCGGAAGACCTGTGTTAATACAACGGAAAGATGTTTCCATACTGCTCATTTGCGTTTAGGTTTATGTGCCTCGGATTAAAGTGAAAATGAATGCAGCCATGCGAAGATAAATGTAGAGGAAATTAGTGACTCCCTCAGGCTGAAGGGCAAATGTTTTCATCCAGATGATTCTTGCTCAAGATTCTTTCATGGTTGTC